TCGCGCACCCGCTCGACGTGGGCGTACAGCGGCGCGTGTGTCTGCACGGCGCGGAAGAAGTGGCAGTGCATCGTGTCGGCGACGAAGCCGGCGGGCACGGTGGCTTGCGCCGCGGACAGCGCCTGGGCGAGCACGGCGCCGCCAAAGGCGCCCCGGCCCCAGAGCGGCTTGTACAGCGGCGTCTTGTTGACGAAGACGTCGCGGCCTTGCTCGGGGGCGGCCCGGCAGGCGACTGCGCTCTCCATGGTTGGTCGAAGAGGTTCTCGTAGGGCGTGGAGGTTGCGGTGAGACGGAAAGGCCCGGCGATGGTGGAAATGTATGCAGGACAAGCGTGAGGTGCGCTGCACGGGAAATCTGAGGTACGGAATCACTGAAGCATTAAATTTGACGGTATCAGCAACGGCTGGTCAAAGATACGTAGAAAGTGTCGAAACTAAGTAGATGGCGACCTGCCGAGGTTCGGTTGTTAGCGTCCGGTTCCTGGCGCGCCTGTCCGCGGACTAGCATCGTGGATTGACGATTTGACAGACCATGTATATATTTTTGCTGGTATTTTGTGCAAGTAAACAAGTTTAAAAACGCCGATTGAGAATTCTGGATAAAGTGATGCGCACATCACCACTGTAGTCACGGTCGCGGTACGCCATGTACCAGCTGGTGCAAGCATGTCCGCCTCGAAGCAACCGTCGTTCATTGAGCTATGTGGTAACCTCCAACTGTCTGAACCAATGCCTCTTACAAGAACAATACAAGGGCAATCAGAGGCTGAGAAAGGTTGGTGTACTGTCATTGCCAGATTGCATCCTGGTCTCAAGGCTGTTGGCCATGACGTAAAAGCTTGCCCTTCAATTCCCTTGTCGCAGCCAGAGTGACCACGGACCACCTACAGCGGGGGATAAAAGAGCGGTATCCGCGCCTGACATACAGTATTGCGATTCATTGCGGGCGATTGCCGCCGCTGGCAGATCAGATGGCGGTGACAACCGCCTCTTGGACGCTGCCGCAGCGACCGTGTCCAAAATCCAGCTGCAGTGTTCTCGCTCCAGCAAGGAGGCCTGTGAATTCGAGACGGAGCTGCACAATCTGTGGTTCATCTACTACCACGCCCCTCTGAACATTTCTGCAGAGAGCCCCTTGCTTAACCGACTGGTTGTTCGGATTCTGCAAGCCCGGGAACAATATGGATTTTCTGGATGAAGAGGTTGCAGCAAATCAGCAGCGAGCACGCGAGGCCGGAGATGTACTAATCGCAGAAAATGCTGCAAAACTCGGGGACATGATGTAAGAGAGACTCGGCTGTGAAGCTGAAGATGTAGTCGAGGAGGGAGAGCACGAGACGGGAGCAAATAGTGACACGTTCAAACTTGGTCACGACCACACCCAAACGCAAGAGAAAAAGTCGAGAGTACATCCGAGGACGGACAATTATTAAAGGCAAAATACCAATATAGAGTCAAATGACAAGCATGCTTCAAGTTTCCCTCTTCCGCGTAAAGAGCTCCCTCCAACCACGCCGAGTCCTTTCGTTGAATCCATAGACAAGAGCGTCACACAGACCTTGGATAACAATGCAAGACTACATGTAATGGTAAGCATATACTTCTGTCTGTATTGATCAATAACTTGACTGTCATACCTTGTCGACGGTGGCCACGGCGAATGGTGCCGAGTGTCCGCTGACAGCTTGATATATTCGAATCGCCGTCGGCAACGCCCAGATGAGCATGTAGACCAACGGATACAGCATCATCTGATACGACAGCTGAGAAACCACTTGTATTAGCCGCATGTTATTTCTGGCTGACTGATCATGTAGAGTTACGGACCTTGCGCAAGTCGGCAGCGCCTCGGCTCTTTCGCGTCCTTTGTCTCGGCGCTTCCGCGGACGGCACAGGCTCCGGCACGATGCGCTCCTGGCTGGAGCCCTCGGACCTCTTCGGTGCTTGCACCGGCTGGAGCGACCAGGACCCGCCGTTTTTGGAGAGCGAGTATGGCCCCGAATACGTGTCCGACCCGACGCGGTACTCGTCCTCGTCGTTGAAGGAGACAAAGCTGTCGTGGGCGCGGTGGATGATGAAGTGCAGGCGAAGATACAGGAGAAGCATCAGCACAATGATGACCCAGCGAGGGAGAAAATTGACAAAGAGTCGAGTCTTGTCGCTCGTAAACCAGCACCCTGGAACGAAGGTGTTAGTACGAGCATCGAGGCTGTGGGAGGTTCGGGGCTGACTTGCACGCTCCAATATCGCCGTACCCGGACAGAAACAGACCAAGAGTTGCCCAGAGAAGGGACAACACCCAGGGTATCATCCACACCACGACTTTGTTGTTTTGAATCCAACGCGACACTGCTTTCCTGTCGTCGACCATGACGTATGTGCAGACGGCAATAGACAAGACCCAGTAATCCGCTAGAATTGTTAGCAATAGGCCTGAGCTTGTTGTACACCCAACATACTCTGATTGACGAATGTTTGAATCATGAAGCCATTGAAGCTGCAAAAGGTCTTGCACGCTTTCGATCCAATGTTTTGGCCAGACAGGTTGACGGCGGCCGAGGACAAGAAGTTGATGGCCATGAAAAAGTCACTCAGTGCCAGACCACTACTCTCATGTCAGTCCAGAGTCGCAAAAATATGGGAGAAGCAGAGCGTACAGAATAAGCTGATGTCTAAATGTTCGCAACGACTTGTTCATCTGCCTTTGGTGTTAGTGGGGGCTGCATTATCTGGGCACAAAGAGAAATGGTAACATGCCACAAAGCCTAGAATCATCCAGAGTGCGCCGAGTGCAGAGATTGTGGCCACGACCAGAATGACAATGCTGAGCGTATGTATCTGTTCCTTGGATTTTGGCGCCGACAGCGGCGCTGATTCGACCTCTGTGCCGTTCGGGACGACAGCCATAGTAAAACACACAAAGACAAATCGCAAAGATGTTGAAAATAGAAGAATATCAGGAAATATAGCTGAATCGCAAATGACAAAGCCGCCGAACAGTGTTGGGGCGACGTGCTGGGCCTCTGCTAAAACAGACGTGTCGCGAATCGCTGAGAAGGACGCATCAGAGTTTGGGGGTATTAACAATCAATACATCACACAGACAGGTGACAATGGATGTCAAGAAAAAAAACCATGATACTGAATCAAAACAAAAGATTGTTCAGAAAGCTGAAAGGAAGGCCTCTATCGCCAGGCGCCCCCGCTTTACAGGAACTCTTTAGAACCATCTTACATGCAGAGCTGGGGGATGGTACGGGGGGGACTGAAGCGACAAACGGGTGCAAATTTCCCGTTTCAACTCTAGTCTTTTCTGTTAGGCCCTCCTACTCTACACTATTGGTAAAACAGATGTGAGGAGAGTACGCCAATGTCAGGGGAAGCGCGACGAGCTGGAGATCGGGACAGGGGATGGCCTGGCACAGTACCCCTATTGCTTACCTTGGCTCGGAGGATTAGAAGATAGGTACAGGGATGGGAAAGATAGAAAGGAAAAGACGCTAGCTGTAAGTGCTGCCGCTATCTGGGATATTCTTTACGACGGAGGGTGTAGAGGCTGTTGGGTCCCTTCGACCCATAGGATGAGATACGCATACGCGCCTTGCATTTTTTCTCGATCCTTCTTCACCACCGCAAATCCTTCAACATTGCAAGGCTCGTGTTGTATCTTTTGGCTAGAGCTGGCCGGCGCTATGATGCCGTCATGCTCCCAGGGGACGGAGGGTTCTGCATCCATGAGAAGTGGCGAGTTTGGCATTCTCAAGTCTCTCAAATATTGGTTGAAGTTATTACAACTTTTGCAGCTCTTTGGAAAACCACGGCCGAGCAGGGTGCAACACGTAACCAATCGTACTTGATACATGTGGACTTTTGTAGAGATGCTGTCATTGCAGCTGGCCTCGGCATCGGTTTCAGACAAGGGGATGCGCTGCGTTTCCATCATTGTCTTATCTGCTCGGCAGGGTTTCCCCCGCGATAGGGAGATAAGGCCGACTGTCTCTGTGGTTCTGCTGCGCCACGTTGATAGTGGCGTTCGAGGAAGTCGGATGACACGAATCAAAAAGTCGCACGACCTTTTTTTACTTATCAGTAATTAACATCTCCGGGTTCAAAGGCGCGTACAAGACGATTGCGGCACTTGTTGTGTCCATCAACCATCAGCCAAGACTTTGCCCCCCCCGCCCTTCGGCGATGGCCGCAACTTGGCCTGTTTTCTCAGATAACGTACGCCCAACCTCATGGAACCTGATGTTGAGAAATGAAAGGGTTGGAGTGTCAAAAGAGGGGGACAAAGGTGACCAAAAGCCCGACTAACGTCCATTGGTGTGGGAAACCCGACTCAAATGTGTTCCGTCATTTAGCTCCCTCTTTTCATCTTTGACTTTCTCCTTATTAGTTGTTATCTAGCGTTCGGCTAAGAGTTACCCAGATATTCGCTCCTCTTGAAGAATCGAGAACTTGACCCGCCCGTCCCTTGCGCCCGCCCGCCGACTACCCAACCGGAAGCCTCCCGGCTGGACAAGAGGCCGATTGAATCCCCAATTCAGGGTCCGGCGCGGGGCAGCGACAAGCAAAGACGAACTAGCGATTGCAGCAGCTCATTTTCGCGCCCCAGCAGCCATATGTACAAGTATCAACCTTGCAACTGCTCCCTTTTCGGACAAGAGACGAAGCAAAAGGCGAGACAAGACGGGCCTGCACAGCAGGGGTTCGGTAAATACATGTACATATCTCCGTAATTTGTACATACCTCCGGTTGACCTGGTACCCTGCAGCGCATCATATCATCTTGTCCAGGGCCACAGCAACCTCCAGTGGCGTTCTTGATTTCACCCTGCCAAACATGAACCCAAATTTCCAATCACGCACCGCTCTGACACTCAGAATCCTGGCAACTGCAATATAAATCATCGAAAAAGGGAAGCATTGCCTCCATCAACTCGGCAGGACTCCTCCAAAATGGATATCCCAGCAAACGACTGATCAACTCCGAATAGTACTCCTTCGGAGAGACGTACTCCTCCTGAGAGAAATACTTCCTCTGAAAGCCGTACTGCTTCTTCTGAAAGGCGTGCCTCTTCTTAGCGACGTACTTCTTCTGACAGACGTGCGTCTTCCACACCTTTGTGGTCTTTTCGTGCTCAAATTGTGCGAGGTGAGCCAGCCCAAAGTAGGAGATGGCTCTTGCATTCTTGCCTTCGTTGGCAAGCCCCATAGCCATATACAGATCGTCCTGGCTTTTTGATCCCAAGCGCCTGTATATGGCATCGTACTTCTTCCTGTTCTCCCGATCCAACTCCTTCTCCTTCTTAGCTCGCTGCGCCTTCTCCTCCCTAGTTAGCTTCGCCCTCTCTTCCTCAGCTCGCTTCTTCTTCTCCTCATCTGTAACATCATTAGTCTCCCAACCTGACTGCGACAAGTCGACTCACCAAACATGTTTAGATGGCAGGGCGACACTATCATCTTAGCCAAATCTCGAATCTCTGGCGCCTCGTTTGCTGCTCTTAGCAACAGCGAAGCCCTCTCTGCGTCGTCCAGGAGAGAATTGACTTTTGCCAAGAAGTCTTCAATATACGCAGACATAACTCCTGACTATGTGTGGCCTTTGAGAGAGAGTAATATTGGAAGCGAAACCGACTGGCTCGAGCTCCTCGGCGCGTGAACGAGAACGATGTCGCCAAACGATAGCCTTGGCCTGCAACGGCGCGAGTTGGTTGTCAGAGCTTGCGTAGATGCGTTGAAAGTAAAGTTGATGAAAATGAAGATTCTGGTAAAGGGTGTGATGGGCAACTCTGAGTCTACTCAGCATCCCATCCGCCGCGAAGAGCTCCTTTATATACCCTCAAATCATGTTTTAGGCACCTACCTTTGTACGGTTTCACTTCTACGACTTTTGTTGCTTTGTCGCAAAGATACATCACCAAGAAACGGGCAGGTTCCGTCGAGTGGTACAGTTAAACGCCCGTGTTTGCTGTACTTCAGTGACTGCCTGGCCTTAGGCTGCACCTGCGTCCTTGGACCGCGTGCTCCCTTTGTAAAGCAAAACGCTGGCATAGGCGTGCATTCGCATCTGTACTGCGTCCTGCTTAGAGGTTTCAGCGCCAAAGCCAACACATGACCGGACCTTGGCCTTCGCCGTGTGGAGGCGTCCTCCTAGGTCGCACCAAAAGACCGTCACAAAGGCTAGGTAGCAGCATACATCGAACTAGGCACCGGTGCTGCTGGTCATTTGACCAAGGATGCTTCCATACAAGATGGCGAATGGCACTAGGCAGCTTCATCAGTGCAAAACCGCCGCTTGTGCTCAGCAGGTACACCGCGTGTTCCTTTGGCTGCTACTTGGTCATTATGGTAAGAGGTACTACACGGAAACCAAGGACTGCCGCCTATGACAATGCAATAGAACCTGTGATGCAGCCTTTCACATGATGGTTTGGCAATGCCGGCTCTGCCATATATCTGCGAGGGGTTTCTACACCGATGCATCTGGGGAACCAATTCCGTGCTTGTTTCTGGTATAGTAGCTCTTCAAGGCATATTTACAGAACAATTTCTTTCCGCTTTTAAACATTAACTTTAGTGACCGACCTAGAAGAAGTATGTCATCATCGCCCCACGCCATGCCGGTAAAAATCTCCAGAACTGCTATGACCGGGGTCTGAAAGGTGCGTCAGCCGGGCGCTGCCGTTGCTGCCCGTCGCCAGGCCGTTGCTGCCGTATTCGAACTTGCCGATGGGGCCGTTGAAGTCGACAAATTGGCGTAGCGGAATGCTGTCAAAACCCATGGTCATTTTCCCGCCCGACTGTAGGTCCCTTGGCATCTCATGGTGTGCTCACTACAAATTACTTGGCAGCGTGGGACTCGGCAGTGGCAGGGATCAGACGGTGCAGTGACGCGTCGACTCTTCATTTTAGTAATATAATTACAGAGTACTCGTTCACTTGGCATTTATATGCTCTCCTTTTCTCCTCGTATTTCTCCTTTATTATATTCTCCTTCATCTCTCTATTATTTCTCCTTCATCTCTCCATTATTTCCTTCGTCTCTCCATTATTTCTCCTTCCTCCCCTTTACGCATACATTTTTACTCCTTTCTCAACCCTATTCCGCTCCAACCCGGCCCTGGTTGCATCGTTCCAAGATGCAGTCCACAGAGAACCCATCAACCCTTGCGAGCGGAGCTTCACCACCATCGAACCCCATCCAACCTCAATAAATGAACAAGCCTCAAGCCTTCACCGTCGAATCACCGACAACACCTGTCTTAGCCTGATGCTTTAGCTTGCGCTAGACCCAGCCCTGGCCTGTAGCCTCGCCAGCCTGATTTTTTCCTCATTTCTTCCCATTGTTATTTAAAGACCCCACGACCTGCCCCCCTTCTAGCGATTTCCCATCCCGCCGCTCCCCCCCCTAGATTCCTGCTCCCATGTCATGAATTCGACATCGGTCGCGCCGGCCGCGCTGCCCGCCCTCACCACGCCGTTTGCCGCGCCGGCGAGCTGCACCGACGTCTTTGGCAGCACCATCACCTACCGCACCGGCTTCGACGGCGCCGACGCCACCCACTACACCGTCTACGCCGCCCCGCCCCCGAGCGCCGGCGCCTGCCAGGCCGCCGGCGCCAACGTGCACCGCGACGGCGCCACCATCGTCGTCCGCCCCGGCGTCTGTCCCAGCGGCTGGGTCGCGTACAACCTCGCCGTCGACGGGCCGCAGTACTATCCGAACCCGAGCGATGCCGCCTCTGTCACCTTTGCCGCCATTTGTTGTTCGAGGTAATTTTTTTGGCTGGGTTACAGACTTTTTTTTTTGGTTGTGTGATCGATGGCTAATACAGTTCACGGGGAGACAGCGGCTTCTCGGCGACGGACACGCTGAATAGCATCCCCAGCTTCGGCCCGGCCTGCACCAGGCTCGTCGCCAGCACCCAGACCGTCTCGGCGGGACAGACGACGACGTCGCTGACGCTGAGCGCCCACGCCGCCTGGCGCATCCAGTGGAAGGCCGGCGACGCCCCGACCCTGACGCCCCAGCCGCCGTCCATGGAGCTCTGCTACGACGTGCAGATACCGACCTGGACGCCCGGTGCCCCGGTGACGGGCCGCAACAAGTGCCGGAGCCTCAAGGAGTCACCGGACAAGCACCAGCGCAACGGGCTGCTGTGGCTGGCCATTGTGCTGCCGACCGTCATTGGCTTCTTGCTCATCCTGGGCTGTCTGTGCTGCTGCGTGTGCTACAGGCGCAAGAAGAATAGGCAGAAAAGAGAGGCCGACATCCGGGACAGGCCGGCTGAATTACAGGGGGATGAAGTAGCGCTGACCCAGTATAAGTGATGTGCTGTCATGATGTAATACCTAATGTTAATACATGTACATAGTTGAGAAACAAATATACCACAGTATACTTGATAAATCAGTCTTGTGGGATTGATTGTGGGAAAAGGTGCCACTGCTCCAGAGTGTGACAGGTCCTGCGCGTCCTCGTCCGATACGACAAAAAAATGACTTGTTTTATTTTATTTTATTTTCAATATGTACAAATTACAGACCGTATTATCTGTGGCTAATACTCTTGTAACCTGGATTTAAATCATGCCATCTCCGGTGGCGTCAACATTGCTGAGATAACGTGCAGACAACGAGGCTGTGGTAGAAGGATACCTACATACCTAGGCATGTGTCAAGCACCAGCGTGATAAAATAAACCGCCCTTTAGTTAAACAAATATATTTATTCTTATTCCCTCTCATATTCTCTTTCTTCATCATGATTTACCCCCCTTCTATATCCTTTTTTCTTTATTTACCCTCTCCCCCTTTGATTTCTGTTGCATACACCCACTGACAGTAGCCAGGTTTTTGGTATCAGCCGCATGCCACACACCATCCCCATTTACCCCATTGACTCACAGCCAGCTAACCGCCGTCATACCATGGCTTCTGCATGCTCGCACCCCGACGGCCATTCCCTCTCCGCACACCCGCAGTCGTCTGCAAGCCAAAAAAAATAAAAATAACCACATCTACAGCAACCATGTCGCCCGCGGACCACCACCCAGCAGCCGCGGACGAGCTTCCCGGCGGCGGCGCAACGCTTCCTCCTCGTGCCTGCGAGCCAGCCCCTGACACCGCCCCGCCGGCGCTCTCCTCGGACGAGATCAAGGAAAAGGCCGCCCGGAAGGCGCTCCTGCACGGCATGCTCACCGCCGGCGGCAAGAACAAGGAGATGATGGAGTGGTGGCGCGAGTTCAAGCGCCTCGAGACCGAGCTGCGCGCCGCCCGCCCCAAAAAGCACCGCCGAGATGGCAAGAAGCGCAGAAGCCTCCTGCAAATCAGCGACGAGGCGCTCGGGTCCATTGGCGAGGACGAGCCGCTCGAGACGACATCGGCCGCGTCCAGCAGCGCGCCGGATCCGGAGCCCGTGTCGCCACACGCGGGGCGGTATCCGTACTTTGTCAACATGGACGTGGTGGAAGCAGCAGAGCGGCTCGCCGACGCTGTACGTATTCCTCTATTTGGAACCCCCTCCCCCCACGAGCCCCCACGCAACGTATTCTAATCCCGCATACAGGAAATTACTGCGGCCAGGCACGCAAGATCAGTCCGCCGTCGTGCAAAACGCGACGAGCAGAACCAGCGCCTTGAAAATGACGCTGCCTGAAGCGTTGCGGCGTCTACACATCGGCAAAGCATTTTCCGGCTCGTTGCGCAGGATTCCCCGACACACTCCACAAGATTCGAGGTAATCCTGCTGTCAAGGCTCAAAACAGAAAATAAAAGACATTTCTTCCGTCTTGGGACGAAGCCGTGCCGCCTTGGTCGAGTAAGCGTAAACTTGCTAGTCTGGAGACTTGTGTGCAAATTGAACCATGGTCCTCGAAACCCCAGCCGAGATGGGCTTGCTGACCCAAGGTCGCCAAGAGTCGTTGCTATATCTGCCAGCGGTCCAGAGTTAGGATGGGGTCCAGAGCAGGGTGAAGTCCAGAGTCAGGGTGAAGTCCAGACTCAGAGCGAAGTAGAACAGACCGCTGACCATAACTGACATCGTAGCAAGTATAATATTACACGCTGTGGGCCGCTTCTAGCTATCTAGCGCTCTAATCTAACATGTATTTTTCATCGTACAACTACAGTAGCGCTCCTGCATCGAATTAGCTAGCATAGGCTCGAGCTCGTCGACTGCTCGCTCATGGGCGAGTGGCATTCGTCACTCTTGCTCGTCGCCAATGAGCTGTCGGGTGTGTCATCCGGAATAATAAAGCTGACATCCGATTCCGGACTGCTTCGTGGCGTGTAGTTGCGGCCGCGCGAGCAGCCATGTTCCACACCTGTGCTATGGTGGCTACCCTTCTCAGAGACTCTCTAATCCGCTGAGCGTTCCGTGCCAACACCACGCCAAAGCCCATAAAATCCGTCGCAGTTCTTCCACATCTTGATGGTACCGTCTTCGGACCCCGTGGCATACAGCTTGCCGTCGGGCGCAAAAGCAACCGACCAGATCGGACCGTGGTGGCCCTTGTGAGTGTCAATCTCAACCTCGTCGTCGTAGCGAATCACCTTGGCCCAAGTACCAGGCTCCTCGCCGACGACTAGCTTGCGACCCTTCAGGTCGAGCGCGACACTGGCAATCGTGTTTTGAAGTGTGATGCGCTTCAGCTCAGTCATGGCTCGCTCCTCGCCCCAGAAATAGGCCGTCTTGCCAGCTGCAACAGCGAGAACAGGCTTACCACCTCCGATATCGGTGGGCGACGTGACGCTGGGGCACAGAGATACCATCTCACATGACTTGATTTCGCCGTCCAGCACCTTTTGGTGAATGCAGGCACGGCTAGGGAGATCAAGCCATCGAAGAGTATTGCCGGATGCAGTAATGACGATATTGGGGTCTTGGGTCCAGCAAATGAACTTGATCGAGTCGGTGTGGATGCCCTCGCCAATCTCAAAGCCCGCGGAAGCCGGGATCGTCACATCGGAGCCAGGGCTGGAGGCAGCGAGCTCGGACAGGTCAAAAACTCGTAGCTTCTTCTCCATGCCACCAGTAGCAACGAGGTCTGAGTTGTCGGGAGGGTATGCGACGGCTCGAACAATGTGGTTGTGCTGGAGGGTGTAGAGTATCTCGCCGGTGTGGGTGTCCCAGATTTTGCTGTAACGTGTTAGAGAAGAATTTGTATTCACAGTAGGCAACGCACGCGGTAAAGTCCGCCGAAGCGGTGGCCGCGTTGGCTGCATCGGGGCTCAGTCTAGCCTGCCAAACAGCTCCCTTGTGGCCGATGAATGTACCGATCCTACTTTATTAGCTTCGTTGATGGACAGCATCGTGCGACTCACCAATCCCCAGTCACACCATCGCGAAGCATTGGGTTTCCATCTGCCGCTGTCAGTAGATGCATCCCGTGTACCTGGAAAGGCACTAACCTTTGCAAGCAGAGATGAGGTAGTACGTCTCCTCCTTTTCGAGGTTGGAGAAGCCAATGTGCGGCACAGGGCGAGAATGCCCGTGGCAGGTCAAAGGCACGTACTGGCGACTAGCCTCGATAGCCATGTCGAATAGATGGAGTGGAAGTGATGGTCCTTTGAATTCGTGGATGTTCCGCGTGCCGCTTGTTTTCACGGCGTAAGAAGCAAACAAGTCGTAACAGTCTCGTAAATCGTAAACGTCGTCAGGTCGTAGATCGTATCAAAGAGTGTGATGAGATGCATAAAGAAGCGCGGACGGATCTGTGGTGTGATGAATCAATCCGGTCCCTCACAAGAAGCGGCTTGCTCTGCGAAATGAGTGAAACGCACCAGCGCACTGGGAAGAGAGTGTCGAGGTTGCTCCTGGATTTTACTCGCGGGGCGACACTTGCGCAAAGAGGGGCACCGCCACAGCGGGGTGGCGAATCTGTGGCGCAGCACCAAGCTATCAACCGTTGCCAGTCCCCTACGGGACTCCCCTACTATTTTTTATAATTTCGAGCATAACTCGAGGTCTACCTACAACCTAGAGGTACTAAACTAGTAAGGGGTAAATAAGGGCCCTAGCCACTAGTTTTCCTACTTACTTTCTTCTAAAATTAGCTATAAATCTTATAATTTTTAGTATATATTAATATAAGTAAAATAACTAGAACTATTACTTATAAGTAGTACTATTAGTAGAAGAGCTTTTTACTAAAGGTATAAGCCTTATATAATAGGGAACGTATAAGGTATTATAGTTAGTTAGTATAACCCTAAGAGACTTAAGTGCGTACTAAGTACTACTAAATTTAGTATTTTAAAGGCTGTTATGGCTATATAAGAACGCGATTGTATATATATTTTGATGGCTACGAAAGGGCGTTTTTTTGAGCGAATTAGTGACTGTTGAGAGGCTTTAAAACCCTTGGCGGCGGCGGCGGCGGCGGCGGCGGCGCGACTGGCGATGGTGCTGGTAATGGTGCTGGTGCTGGTGGGGAGAGTAGGCCGTGGTCGCAGCGGGGATAGAATTCATTAAGTGGTTGAAAGGATACCTCTATTTATATGTGATAAACACTAGAATCTATATACCTTTATAAAATACGTAAGTACTAGTAGTGTTATATAAGGCTTATACCCTTAGTAAAAAGCTCTTATACTAATAGCATTACTCTTACATAAGACTATTACTATATTAAGTTTATTATATTACTTTAGTTATATTAGCTAGTTTATTTAGTATTATTAATATACTATTCTATTTATAATATAAATATTATAGTACTTAGTACTAAAAGGTATTTATAGACTTTTAGCCTATTACTATAAGAATACTTAATTAAGATAGAAAAATAGAGAGAAGAAAAAGTAAGGAAAATATAAAAATTAGAAAAATTAGAAAAATTAGAAAAATTAGAAAAATTAGAAAAATTAGAAAAATTAGAAAAATTAGAAAAATTAGAAAAATAAAATATATCTAGGTAATTAGATAATAGCTGAATCTATAGTTGAGCTTATAAAATAAGCAAAATGCGATCTTCCCTGCTTTGTGCCTAGGTCGTACCATGGAGTTGATGACACCTGTATAAATTCCCACTCTTCAAAGGCGATCTCTTCCTCCAATAGCAGCTGCTGGAAATACTTGCTGGAAATGTCAAATTTGAGAAAGCACGCATACTGTTGAGCGGCATGCAGAATGGTAACGCTGAGGTAAGTTAGAATAACAATATCGGATCGAAGCTTCTGCATTTGCTTACCTCCTGTCTTTCAACGAAAGATCACGCAGCTTTGCTGCCAGGGCTTGGCAAGTCATCTGTGCCAAGCAGTCATCGGAAATGGTAGGTTTACCCTCGTCAAAGCACCGCAAACGGTTCTTGGCTTCAAGCATTAGCACCCGATTCGCGATGGTGTGCCACCCGCCGGCTCCCTTCGCTCGCAAGCACAATCCTCCATCGTCGACTGCTACTAGCACATTCTGAGTCTGAGTCGTTGCCTTGAGCCCTAATTTCACGTCGCGGACCTCTACTACAATTTCGCTTTTGGTCGACAAATAGTGTACCACATGACGAAGTGCGCAACGGATAAAGTGCAAGGTTCCGTCTTCGTTTTGCACCGCAGATGCGTGGCTTGCCTCGTCGAAGTAGGCCAGAGATCTTTGCGACCCCGACCCCGAGTCCGAGGTACTCGGACTGCTTGATTCGACTTGCATTGTGGTTGAATCAACAAAGTCTGGGTATTGGGTCTGAATTCGAGCACGAATCGGCCATGAACGAGCTGCAACGGGGAGTGAGCTCGCAGAGCC